ACTGGAAGCACAGGCACCACCTGCACTGATTGGAGGAAGAAATAGGTAGACAGCAGTGCGAGAATACATTCAACAACTTAAAGAATAATATGGCACAACTAAAACCTAGTGGTTCTACAAACAGCAAGACCTGATCATCCCAACACAGATGAAGCAGAATAAAATGACCTTAAAGTACCTTTATAAAGATGATAGATGTCCTTAAAGAGGAAATGAAAAAAATCCCTTAAAGAAATTGAGGAAAGGACAAAAATGGGAAGAAATCAATAAATTCCTCAAAGAAAGGGGGAAAAAAAGCAATCACCCAGGAGAAGGAAACAGTTCAAGATAAAAAATGAAAGTAGTGATAATAAAGAAAAAAAAAACCCAGAGGGAATTCTGAAAATGGAAAATCTGAGTAAACAAACAGGAACTATGGAAGCAAGAATAACTCCCAGAATATAAGAGATGGAAGGGATAATCTCTGGTGTTGTAGATATAGAGGAAATAGATTCACTGGTCAAAGAAAAATTAATGCCAACAAAGTCATTACACAAAACATCCAGGAAATCAGGGACACCATGAAAAGATCAAACCTAAGAATAATGATAGAAGAAGGAGAAGAACACCAGTTCAAAGGCAGAGAAAATAATATTCAACAAAATCATAGAAGAAAACAACTCTGAGATACCATTTTACACATGTCAGAATGGCTAAAATCAAAAACACCAAGAACAGTTTATGCTGGAGAGGATGTGGAGAAAGGGAAACACTCCTCCATTGTTGGTGGGAGTGTAAATTTGAACAGCCATTTTGGAAATCAGTATGGAGTTTTCTCAAGAAAATGTGAATTAGTCTACCTCAAGATCCAGCAATTCAACTCTTAGGCATATACCCAAAGATGCACATTAATACATCAAGGACATCTGTTCAACTATGTTCATAGCAGTATTATTTGCAATACCCAGAACCTGGAAGCAATCTACATGCCCCTCAACTGAATAATGAATAAAGAAAGTGTGGTACATTTACACAGTGGGGTACTACTCAGTGGGAAAAACAAAACAAAACAAAGCAATGGAATTTTGAAATTCACAGGCAAATGGATGGAACTGGATGAAGACATCCTAAGTGAGGTAACCCAGTCACAGAAAGACAAACATGGTATGTATTCACTCATATATGGATATTAGACACAGATCAAAGGATTACCAGCCTACAATCCACAGCTCCAAAGAAGCTAGGTAACAAGGAGCACAGCAGTAAGAGAGACATGATGGTCCCATGATGAAAGGGAAAAAGACAAGAGCTCCAGAACAAATTGGAAGCATGGGGGAGGGGAGGGAGGTAGGAGTAACAGGAGAAGAAAAGAGAAGGAGGGAGGAGAACATAAGGGATTAGGAAAATTGAGTCAGGAGATAAATAGAGGAGACCAAAAAAAAAAAAAAAAAAAAAAAAAAAAAGACACATTAATAGAGGGAGCCATTATATGTTTAAAAGAAATCTGGCACTAGGGAATTGTACAGAGATCCACAAGGATGACACCAAGTAGGATTCTAAGCAATAGTGGAGAAGCTATCTTAATTGCCCTTTCCTGATGAGAATGATGACTATCTTAAATGCCATCCTAGAGCCTTCATCTAGTAGCTGATGGAACCAGAAGCAGAGATCCACAGCTTAGCACCGAGCCAAACTCCTGAAATCCGTTGTAGAGAAGGAGGACTGATGAACAAAGGGGTCAAAATGCTAGGATTGGGGGCGGGGGGGACATGGGAGGATGGGAGGGAGAGAGACCTGGGGTTGATATGCTGTGCATTCCAGGCATATTTAAATATCTGCTGATGTCTGCCTGTCCCAACAGTCCCCATCACTTCCAGCCATCTGTGCACACTGTGACTGTTACTTAAACAATTATTCCATTTTCTCATCTGTCTAAAGCACAGATCATTCTTAGGATTGGGTTCAGACAGTGTACCCTACGGTACGCACCTTCTTTGGCCCAGCATATGATTACACAGCCTCCTCCCCTGCTCCTACCATACCTGGCCCATCTTCTGCCAGAGCCAGTATTTACTAGCCTGTCTGACTACTGGACAGTAAGCTCCTTGAAGCACTGAGTTGTCTTGTTCTCACATGCATAGCAGCTAGCACAATTTCTAGCTTATAATAGGGAGTCAATTAATACATCTTGAATGAATGTGGAATGTGCACTCATTCCTGAGTATTTGGAAACAGATCCAGGGGGGGGGGAAAGGAAAGAAAGGAAAAACTAAAACTTGAAAGGAAAATCAATATAAACTCTAATGTTTGATCAGTCTAGGTTACAGAGTAAGACCTTGTCTCAAAATAGAGAGAAAGAGAGAGGGTGCCCAAAGCATGAATACCTTCTCCTGTTAATGTTTTTAGCTCCTTGCTTCCCATTATAATAATTTTCTCACATGCTTTGAGTGCTTCTGTTTTCATTTACCAGTATATGGTTAGGCTGGAAATAGCATTAAATGTTTATTCATGCATCTGCAAACTCTTGGGAAACTCCACTGAGATGACTGTAGGAACAGTGTCCATTAAGAGTGACACTGTTTTGGAGATACTTTCTGTTATGGACCTTGCTGCTTGCCAAGTTTTGATACTACAGATAATGCTGAAATAAATATTTTTGTACTTCTAGTTATTGCTCCTTAGAGAATTCTAAAAATAAAATTATTAGGTGAAAATTTTACAACTCTGATAGAAGAATGAAATGGAATAAAGCTCTCTGGGGACTGGGAAGGGTCGTGGGAGGGGAGATGGAAGAATGTTAATAAGGGTTCCATAGTCACACTGGAGAAATTAGTTCTGGAATTCTTAAAATAGACTAGGGGTAACGATTAGTTAGAACATTGTGTGATATATTTTAAAAAAAATGAGTAAAGGAATAAAAATCTCCAGTTATAAAAAGGATTCATGTTAGAAGATGTGGAAACGTGTATTATTTGCCATATTGAAGATGTGCAAATACTACACCTCGGTTTAAAAAGAAAGCTTTACATTTCTGCTTGCAATGCTTCGACAAAAACATCTCAATACACCCTCACTGCCGCAATGTCTTTTTTTTAGTATGTCAGTCCTACAGCTTTATTTATATGTTTATTTAAGTTTTTTATTTATTTTATATAACCAAGTCCATTTAAATGAAAACAAACATTTATAGACAATATTTGGGAATTTGGGCGTCGTTCTTTCCAAACTACTTCCTGCTGGTAAGGGGCGCTGTCATGGGGGGGGGGGCAGAAGTAGATTTCAAATCAATGTTATCATAGTCGGGGATGCAGCTGCCTGCTGTTTAAGTGCAGGTGTTTGAGAGATGAGTCTTGACAGGAAAGGAAGTTAATTCAAGGCCATCCCCAAGGAGGATAAAGTTATGTTCCTGTCTGGAGAGCTCTGGGAAGTTGTGTCCTCCAAGACCTTTGAAAAAGAAAGGACCAAAGGCATGCAGTGATTTGATGGGGGAGGAAGAAGAGCATGTAACTATGGACTGGTTCCAGTCTCCATCAGTGACTAAGGAAGGACATTGCTGCACTACTTAGGCACCTTTCTTGGTGTTAAAAATGGCAGGGAAACTAGGAAAGAGAGGTGAATATAGTGGGACCAGTGAAGCCAGCAGTCCCCAGTTTGCCTGGAGATCACAAGGTACGCCAAACTTTAATTCTCTTGCCTATAACTTCCTAATTCCAAATACTACCACACATGGCTAAAATTGTCAGTGATTCCTCAACATATGCTGATGTTTGCACTTTGTTCTGAAAGACCCCCACTATGCTTATTGCCTGTTTGAGCTGCTCTCATTAATTGCCAAGGTCGAGTTATGAGAAAAGCACAGGAGGGAACCAGGTGCTGCTCTCATCCAACGCCAACCAGGTATCTGTGGTCTGCAGCTTGGACTAAAGCAAGGTCAGCAGGAGAGTGTCCAGTATGTTGAGAGAGTCATAACTGAATTCTTTCTATTCTTTGTGACCAACCCGAATAACCAACTGTCCTTGGTTAACTACCACTGCTACATTTAGATAAAACAATGAAGTCCCTGTAACCATGCTTCTGCTTCTGTAAACCTGCTTCTTGCCACGCCAACTTTATATAAACTGCATATGCTTTAACCAGGCATGCTTTCTCAGTCTCTCGAAAGACTGGGGCGTCCATAGGTACCTATGGACCTCTTGCACTTGCATCCAGTGGTCCGGTCTCGTCTCTTGGGGGCAAGGGCCTTCCCCCTGACAGGCTCCAAACTCTTGAGGTCTGCTGGGGTCTTTCAGTTCTGTGTACCTAGTACCCCAAAATTATTCAATAATGTGGAAATATTTTTTAAGTCCATTATGTTGTAGAGGTCAAGCAATAGTGGTAACAGTGGAAAACGCTTGTGTCTGGCACCTGGGTTATGGACAAATGAGAAGGGAAGCTTGACGGAAGAATCCATGAGAGAGTAAGTACTGGTGCTCTTAGATTGCTGCCAGCCCTGAAATTCCAGGCTCAAGGACACTCAGAAAGAAGGACCACAACCAGAATTTGTATGCTGATCATTTTATTAACGTAATTAAGCTATAGTTCTGATACTGCGGGGCCCGTGGAAGAAAGTTGTGAGGGAGCCATCTTCTTACACAATTCCTGAAATAAACCAATCATGAAGGCAGGTTACAGAGAGGACTTGACATTCCAAAAATAAACAAGAACATGCCAAAAGAAAACTAAGATGAGTTCTTCCTATAAGTATGAACTGATGAGTCTAAGCAAGTGGGCAAAGGACCTCCAGAAGAAGTAGAAGACATAAAATAATTGTGAAACACAAATTTGGAGGTGATATTCCCCTAAAAATAGATCTTTCTCGTGAATAAATCATTTCATTGTTAATAAAAGTATTTGAAATTGAATCCAGGACTATGTAATTTCTAAGCATTTTGATTGGTTATTTCATATGCTCTGAGAAATAAAGCAGTTTGGCTTTTATTCAGGAGGATAAATATAAGTCATACCTGTCATCGAATTCTAGTTTACTGGGGACCAAAACCCTGGGGACGTCCCAGTGGTCTAAACCCTTGGGAAGACTGTTGAGGGCCTTGCTGGTTTCCAGGCTGAGGGCCTTGGTTCTGCTGTGGGCCTCCTGGTGGGGGTGGGCCTTGTGGGTTTCCAGGCAGAGGTGGTCTGTTCTGCTGTGGGCCTCCTGGTGGGGGTGGGCCTTGTGGGTTTCCAGGTGGAGGTGGTCTGTTCTGCTGTGGGCCTCCTGGTGGGGGTGGGCCTTGTGGGTTTCCAGGTGGAGGTGGTCTGTTCTGCTGTGGGCCTCCTGGTGGGGGGTGGGCCTTGTGGGTTTCCAGGCGGAGGTGGTCTGTTCTGCTGTGGGCCTCCTGGTGGGGGTGGGCCTTGTGGGTTTCCAGGCGGAGGTGGTCTGTTCTGCTGTGGGCCTCCTGGTGGGGGTGGGCCTTGTGGGTTTCCAGGCAGAGGTGGTCTGTTCTGCTGTGGGCCTCCTGGTGGGGGTGGGCCTTGTGGGTTTCCAGGCAGAGGTGGTCTGTTCTGCTGTGGGCCTCCTGGTGGGGGTGGGCCTTGTGGGTTTCCAGGCGGAGGAGGGCCACCTTGCTGTTGGTTTCCTCCGTTTGGTGGTTCGTGTCTTTGTGGCAATCCGGGAGGAGGTGGTCTCTGATTGGGGATCTGGTTTTGGCTCTGAAAATCTGAATGTGTAAAGCAAATAATAAATGAGTTTAGTGACAGGTGATTTTCTTCTCCTTTATCTCAATGGCCTTTTCACACAGCATCTTTTCCAGGAACCTCTCATTCAACAGCAATCTTGCTAATGCTTTCCTGAAGAGTTCCTGTCAACCCAAGGTCTTTGATGGTCTGCACGTATTCACGATGTAGATTCCAGAATAAGCCTATGAGCTCTCTAACCTCACAGATTATTATTCAGAATCAATTTTCTCAGACAAAAGTAAAACAAAGAAATCATCTCACACATGATTGTTCTGTTTCAGGTTATATTGTATTGCACAACTGTTTGGTTTTGTTTTTGTTTTATGACCTCCCCAAATCTAGGAGCTAATTTCTGTGTTAAAGCTAAAGGAACTTGATCAGAATCCTGGCTCAGGTTGATGACTACCAGCAGGGGGAAGAAAGGAGAAGAGTAGCAGTCAACACACTATTCACTGTGTAAATTCAAGAAATGTTATCAGCTGTGGACTCAATATATTGTTTGAATACAGAGGCAGAGAGAAAACAGTTGCATATTGTGCACTTTTCTTGCTGCAATCAAATACTGCAAAAGTGGGAACAAGGGGATGATGAAGTCATGGGCAAATGCTTGGTGTCATAGAAGAGTCAGAATCGGGTCGTTTCTTCTCCTAGCAATCACTGCTATGTGATAAAAAAGGTAAATCACTCCTGTTTTCCTGGATATGCCTGGATTATGCGTGTTATTATTCTTCCTGATAATGGTCCTTGGTATCAAGGTTGGGGAATAGTTGTCTGTAAATTTGGGAAATTTGCATTAATTAATTAGTAAAAGTAGAAGTGATAGGCATTGTAGAATTAAAGCAAGCAAACAAACCCAAAACACCCTCCTTACTAAGTACAGAAAAGGAGATTGACAATGTGTTGATATTAGCGGGGAAGGGCATTTACAGAAAGCCATTGGGTTGTAAAGCAACAGACAGAATCAAAAGTGATTTTGCTAAAGCAACTAGCATCCTCCAGGGAGCAAGTGACTTTTAGCCACAATCTGTACATCCCCTAAGGGAACTTTAGCCACTGGCTGTGAAATGACCAGAAAGCAGAAATTTACAATATCCGTGGTGACTTATTCTGAGTACCAACCACTAATTCACTACATGAAATTCCCTTGTGGTGCTCCTTCTTTTACCTAGTATCTTATTGCTTACACTGATAAAAAGTGTGTGTGTGTGTGTGTGTGTGTGTGTGTGTGTGTGTGTACATGTGTGTGCATGTGCACCTGCCTGTCTGTGTGAGAATCATTTTAGCAAAGCATTACACAGACACAAGTGATAACACACTGGAATATTAAATGAGAGTGAGGGAAAAATTGGAAATCGAGAGGATGCTTATATTTTAATGTCCAGCAGTTTCAACTTTGTCATTTCATTTTCTGTCCTTAAACTGTGGTGGTCTGTGTTTCTCTCTGTCGTCTTCCCTTAATACACAGCACAACAAGGTTACTGGCACCCTCAGTCTATTTTAACTACTAGTGTCTTCAAAACTGAGCCTCTCCTGTCCCTATACACTTTGTGGCTCCATTTACCTTTCATCTCCTGTCCTCCCTCCTGTCTCTCTCCTCCCCTGCTCTGGTGTCTCCTGTTCTTTAAGCAGAGTCATGGCACCCACACCCATAATCTCCTACCTTCTGGTTCCTGAGCAGAGCTCAGGGCCAGCAAGGCCGCTGTGAGCAGGACCACCAGCATCTTGGAGGAGGCTCTGGAGTTGCTCCCAAGTCTGTTCTGGAAGAAGCAAGGCAATTGCTTTTATAAGGAGGAGCAAAAGAATGGTGCCATTGAATTTTATTCTGTGTTATTCTGATCTGAACAAAGCAGGGAAGCGTGCATCCCTGACTCCACACTGGGACTTTTGCCCAGCAGGATGAGGTTGGGAAGAGGTGCCAGTGTCTCTTTTTGAAATGGTAAGACAGATGACTGGAGTAAATTAGAAAGAAATCACATGCAAGAAAATAGCCAAGATATTGAAGTAGAAAGATTGTCACTATTTGGATCTCATTTTATTTGATGGGATCGTCTGTACATCATTGTGCATGGGAGTAGTAAGAGTAGTGTGTGAACACATGTGTTTATTGTCAGCAATGATCTATAACCAAATTGAAGATGGTCACTGTCTCTCATCAGTAGTATAGCTGAAACTTTATCATTATATGTATAATACATACAGGGATATACATTATATTTAGTTAACACTGATAGTGTTGAGGCTCTTTTTATACTAATTAGAATTAATGAGGACCCCACACTTGGAATTCCTAGCTTGCTAGGCCTCATCAAGACTTCCCACCATTGTCTTGATCTGACTCAATAACAGAAACATTGGTTGGTAAAACCACATGACCTAAAGCATCACTAAAATTCCAGCAGAAGTGGCCACAGAACCATTTGGGATTTACATGAATCTGTAATTCCTTGATGAGTTCATGTTACCATTTTATATAAGATATGTACACAGCTCCATTGTCCAAAATATTCTCTCCAAATTACTAAAGGCCACAGTTAGAGAGTTGAGCATGGCAGTCTGCTCATTTCCCTCAAAGGGTCAACTGCATAAACTCACAATCTTTTTCAAAGTCAGTGATAGGCTGTGTCCTCAGGATAACCTACAGTTTGTGTGTAATTTTCTGATAGAGCTGCATCTCAAGATTCTCTTTCTGAAGGCATTTTCTTCATATTGCATGTTATTACTCAGCCCTCTAGTTTTGTATTTCATGTTCAGCTTGGACGTTTTTCAGGCATTAGAAGGAAAGAACTCTTCAAAGTTTATCACATGATTAAATATATACAAAATATATTTTTTTGTGATTCATGTCTCATTTTTATTTAAAAATTTCATGGAAAAAGGAGTTTTTCATCCATGACAAGTCTTTCTTTTTATCAACATATCCTGCCCTATAACTTCCCAAGAAACTACAGAACAAGGGAGCCTGAAAATAATTTGTGTTGTTCAGGCAGTCACAAAAAAGGAGCATAGTCAAGAATCATGTGATGTGCTAGCATCCAGTAGTGACATTCTTGGTGGAAGTCAGCCTTATCGTTGGCTTGTTGAATCTCAGAACGTAGCAGTAAGTTCTTCCAAATGTCACTCAGCTCACAACATTTCCCTGACCTTCTCAGTGTCAGCAAGTGTGAAAAAGAGCAGTATACCATGAAAGAAAAATATCACCTGTGACCTCATCAGACACAACAGAAGCAGAAATTATAGAAGTACTGAATGTGTATTTAAAACCATGAGTAAGAATGTAGCAGACGTTACTACATATAATAAGATCTTGATGATCGTAACCTTTATGTAACTTTTCATGGCATATGTATCTAAAGATGCTACTAATTTAGAATCTGTGCTTTCTTCATCCTATTTGCCCTACCTCAGGCCTCTTTTTCCTCCAAAGTCCCTTTCCAATGTTCTGCTCTTAATAGATATTCCAAGTTAAATACAAAAGGCACTTTGAAGCTTTGAACCACTTAATAGAACAAGCATGGCACTTGTCTCCCGACCTAAGTTATTTCACTCAGGATACTTTTTTATTAGTTCCATTTCTTTACTGCAAACTTCTTATTTCAGTTTTCTTTAGCGCTACAGAGATTTCCATTGGTTTCATGCACCACATAGTAATTATTCATCTAGCAGTCGATAGATGCCTAATCTGATTCCATTTCGTAGCTGGGTGGGGAGAAAAAGAACTGTAAGGGACAAGTACTTAAATTTCCCAACACATAGCTATTATTTTAGGATACTCACTTCTTACTGTCACTAGCAGATCCATGTGACACTATTTCAGAGTGTATGACATTATGATCATTGCAGCACACGTACTCCCCGCTGCTGATGTCTCTTTTGGAGGTCTTTGTCTTCAGTCAAGTTTTAAAACACACATATTGTCTAGCATGTCCCTTATTAGTGTTTTCAGTTGCAGGACTCTTCAGTAAAGCAGAGTACTACATGGCTTTAAATCTACTAACACTTTCCCTTTTCCATAATAACATATATCTTTCATGCCTTAGTCTATTAATAGCTATGTGCTTCCTGGAGGAAAGTCTAGCTCCCTGATTTTCTCAGGAAAACAGTCTTTGTTAACTTGTCTGGCTCTCTTTGCCTAGATCTCTAAAGTTACTTTTACTAGGAATAATTTATAGCCATAATGTGGGCAACCTTGAGCTGAGGTCAGTGAATAGTAGCAGGTCCTTCTGTCCTAGGAGGAGTGTGGTAGCTTGAAAGAAAATGGCCCTCAAATGATTGGCACTATTAAGAGGCATGGCCTTGTTAGAGCAGGTGTGGCCCTTTATGAGAATATTTATCGAAATACCACCTAGTGTCACAACTATCTTTTCAATACCATGCATGCCTGCATGCTGCCATGCTCCCTGCAATGATGGTAGTGGAGTAAACCTTTGAAACTGTAAGCCACCATTTTAATTACACATTTCCCTTAAAGAGTTGCCATGGTCATGTCCTCTCTTCACAGTAATAAAAACCTTATCTAAGACAAGTTGGTACCTGAATAGCAACATGTAGCAACTCTGCCTCTAGCACCATGTTTGTGTGTATGCAGCCGTGCTCCCTGCCACGATGACAATGCACTAACCTTCTGAAACTGTAAGCTGCCACCTCCATTAAATATTTTCATCTGTAAGAGTCGCCATGGTCATGGTATCTCCTCAGAGCAACAAAAACCCTACCTAAGTCAATGAGGTCCTATGAATTAGAATAATAGCATCCACACATTTAAACATTTTAAAGTCATGCAGTGCAATTATATATCAAACTCTTAAAAATGAAAATTTACTTTGTATGTATATATATATATATATATATATATATATATATTCACAGGAATATGGTTGGGCATTCAGGATCTCTTGGCCTCCTCCTGTTTTTATTTTTGTTTTTGATTTTTGAACAAATTGGCAGCCCCCATTGGTTTTCAGGACGGCAGATGAGTTTGATTCATAGGACAAGGTCTTACCCACAGGAGGAAAATATCACTGTGTCACAGCTGGCTGGTTCTGTAAGAGGCTGAAAATCCTGAATCCAGATGGAAGACCTTTGAATATACAGTTCTTCAAGCAAGGACAAATAATTTGGGAAATGTGAGAGGATTGGATTTTGTTTCTCAAACACAGTTTTTCTCTTTCATTCTTGTTTGTTCTAGCCATTGTCTCATGATGATGAAGACACAGTATAGCAACAATCTCCCAAATGTCTTGGTGATTTCAGGCTGAAGTAGGCTGTCACAGAACTGGGGTACATTGCAGCAACAAAGCCAACTTGGAGAGTTCCCTTTGTATCTGGAGATCTCTCAGGTGGAGACACCAGTCTTCAATGTAGAAGAACCTCCTGGTGAAAGTAGATCATGTGGCTTTGGACATCTTTGCCAGTTCTGTCTGCAACTCTTTTGACAGGAGTTTACTAAATTTGAACTGTATAAAATTATTCACATCTATTCAATACTAGGCTTTTCAAGTGGGAGCTTCTTCTCAGAGGAGCCTCACAGGTTTTCCTCTTTGTAAACCAGAGTTTCTCAAGAACTTGAAAATTGATAAATCAACTTGTTTGCTGCCTGAATTTTCTTCTTTGTAGATTCAGTTAAAGAGTTAATTCACAACCAACACAGGTCCTATGAATTGGTTCATTTTGTCTTCTGACACATTTTCCAATTGGGAGAGCAGTGATGGGGCATGGATACAATTAAGGTAGAATCCATCAGTCTGATGGTTATTTGCTGGAAGTTGGCTCTGGGCCTAGGGAGTAGAAGAGCATTTGCAGAGACCCAAGTCACTGCATTTACAGTACTGCTCCTCTGTGCAGATACAGGACATTGAAGTTTCTATGGTTTCTTGGCCTTCTTCACTGCAAACTGACCTAACTCCATTCTCCTGGCTCCAGGAGATGGCAATGGACAAAGTCATCTGGGACCTGTATTCGACTGTTGGTATCAGCATTGGGTGGGGGACTGGAGATAAGGCCTGGTTTGTATTCCTATAAATACAGAACATATACAAATGATGTATTTGGGTATGAAATTTTCAAAATGTTAAAACAAAAAAAAATTAAGAAAAGAAATAGAGAACATATGGACCCACAGGTAAACAATACTGAAGGATGTGTACACAAAATCATAGTCATGGCTAATCCAGCTCCCACATGTAGTTGGTCTTATAGTTTCCAAACGTGCTGTGTCTACTAGCCTAGACTGTAAGTTATTTTGGGAGTCATATGAAACTATTATAAAGACCAGAAGTTTCAGTGTATAGAAGTCAAGAACTTTTGCTGTATACTAGTTGTTGAGTCTGAATTATAAGACCAGTAGATGCCTAAGAACTTCTTCAAACATCATGTACCTTGGAGCTTGCCACAGTCTTACTGACAGCTCGACAGAGCCTCCTTTAAGTGACTCATAGGTCTTCCAACTCCTCTGTGCATAGGTGGTATTTTCTTTTGTGATGAATTAATCTCTTTCACACTATTCTGACACTGAAGAAGGTCAGTGAAAAGGCACCAACTCTGTGCTATATAGTGGGGTGAGCATAGGACAAAGATGACTTTTCCCTAGATGTCACTTTCATATCCACTCACAGGTGATCATGGCCTTTCTTCTGTTCCTTCTCTCTTACATGAAGGTTAATTATAAGTAAGCATGTGGGTGGCTCACATCTTGTACTTTGCCTGCATAATTACAGACAGTTATGATAATAAAGTGTGGTATTGTCGAGGAACAAGTAACTATACCCTTCATTCAAATAAGTCAAATGACAAGACTTGCATACAGCAAGGAAGAGTTGCCAAATCCCAATGTATTCCCTTCCAAGGCTACTCTTCCCATAAAACCCCATACTGAGAAAACATTCCTGAAATATCAGGAAAGGACAAATACCAGATCTCTCTATATATCTATATCTGTATCTGTACATGTATGTACACACTCACACACACAGAGAGAGAGAGAGAAAGAGAGAGAGAGAGAGAGAGAGAGAGAGAGAGAGAGAGATGAATCTTATCTGCATTCAAAAAGGAGCTTGTCTTTTAATTTCAAGTTTCATGGACCACCACACTAACTTACTTCAACAAAATAATTCACAAATATTGAAAGTAATTTTGTACTAAAATCAACAATAACAAAAGCATTATAGAAGTGTGATGTGAAAGAACAGTTGCTTAGGCTAATAAACCTCTATCTTAGGTGAAGTAGATCAACTGTCTATTATCAGTTAGGGCAATAAAAGGGAACAAACTAAGACTGATGAATGGAAATGTAATGACATGCTGTTAACAAATTTTAAATAAAAATAGAGCAAGATACTGAGGAATAGAAATGATAATGATTTGGGGGTGTTTTAGAATTATCCTGTAATGTCTGAAAAAATGTAATGTCTAGTTGCATACTAAGAAATGACAGGAAATACATAAAACAACTTCTAATAACAGCAGTTTAGATTAATACAGAGGTTGGAGATGACTTAATATTAACAGGTGGCAGAGAAAATATTCTGTTTTGAAGGCCACTCTAAGAAAATGGAATATAATCAGACTACAAGCGAGAGCATACATGCAATATGATTGAAATTTGCAGCTGATAGCCAAGTGCTTAATTCTCTTGTGTAATCATGGCCAACCATTGGTTACTGGCAGTAATGGAAAACATTTCCTAAAAGTAAAAAAGTATAAAAATAGTTTCATGGAACATTCTGGAAGAGGATTTGGCTGTGGAAATCTCAGAAATGGCATAGTTTTGTGAAGGAATTGTATATTTGTCTTAAGTGTTGTAACACTTTTCTTACCAGAAATAGAATATTTTGAAGTGAGGAGATGGCTTGGTTACTAAAGAGCTTTCAACTTAAGTATGAGAAACCAAGCTCTGATCTCCCCAAAAAAGCCAGGAGAGAGGCCACATTGTGAAAATCCTGACACTTATGATTTGGAGAATGGCTATTCCTGTGTCTCTGGAGACTTGCAAGCCAACTTTCTTCTCAATATGAAAGCTTCAGGCCAATGAGTTTTCTAATCCTATGTATAAAGTGGAAGGTTTCATCAGAGCACCAAGAACCAAAGTTACCCTCTGTCTATGTTTATCATGCATATAAAAAAATGTATTCTCTCTCTCTCTCTCTCTGTCTCATCCAAACACTCACACACCCAAATAGAATGTTTTGGTAGTGTAAAGGTCCAAGTAGTCCCAATTTGGAAACAACAAAATAGGAACTTTGGCCAGTCTTTATGGACCTGATTCAGATGAGGTTGTATGGATTCCATCTTATCCAAACATGGAAAATACAGCTAAATATCACACCCATAGTTAGAGGATGATCAGTGCTCTATGGGTAAAAATGAGAGCTAAAGATATGGGCCATCTTCATGTTTACAAAAGTATTAGTGAATATATATATATATATATATATATATATATATATATATATATATATATCCTACCAAACAATGAAATCCATGTAATGACAAAACTCTAAAATAGAGATGAACGTCATAGTTATACTTCATCAACTCTTAGTCCAAGTTGCACTGCCAATGCCTCATGTCATGCTACCTGGCAGAAGTCCTGAAGAGGAGTCAAGGATGCAGTGTATCCTAGTTTGCAAATGTGAGGTCACTCAGGATGGGAATCAAAGGCACCATTCTTCTGTGTCTTATAAAGGCAGCTACCCCACTACATGAAGCACAGACTTGGAAGAAATTCCAGAGCCTCTCCAAGATGCTGGTTGTCCTGTTCACAGCGGCCTTGCTGGCCCTGAGCTCTGTTCAACACTTCTGTGAAGGTAAGAAAGCATGGTTGCTTGGTCAGTGAATCTGTTTGTGGGTAACCGGTCACACATGTCCTTCCTGGAAGATGCAGAGAGAAGAGGATTATCAGAAAGGCAGGACTATAGAATCAGCATCAAGGTAGGGCATTTAAACCTTCATTCCACACAGAGAATTTGGATGATGTTGTGTTCACTAGAAATTGATAAAGTATTTAAACAAAAGGATGGTAAGGAAGGGTGGGATTTGTAGATTCACTTGTCTGTGTTAGGAAGGATCAAACAGGAAGGTTCACAGAAGAAAGTCTAGCAGTGATACTGTAATGCAGTAGCCAGTGGCTAAGAGTCATCTTGCTTTAGTGAATGTAGAACACAAGAAAGAAAGGATATAGGACCATTTCTGGGTGGGGTACTCAATTAATTAATTTGAAAATCCTATCCCTTGCTTCTCTCTTTCCATGCCTGGAAAATTGGTCATCTGAGACCTCAAATGTTAGTTCCAAGCATCAAAATGCAGTGTGTGATACCATCAATACATGGAGTAAGAGAAAAGTTCCATAAAACCCAAGTGGGAGTGATCATGAGGGTGATTGACAAATGAATAAGAGGAACTATGTAGTAGCCATTGAGTTGTTAATAAAAGGTAGGAGGGCATTTGTTTCATCACTAAACTTATCTCTTCTTGTGATGTACCAATAAAGTACTTCAGACTGCATACCAAAGCACACACCATCTATTGCAGGATTCCCCCAAGGACCCCTTCCCAACCATGGTTTTGGTCCTAAGCAAGGCCCACCCCAGGAAGGTCAGCAACAGCACCATCCCCATCAGCCTGGAAACCATCAAGGCCCACCCCCACAGGGGGGCCCACAGCAGAACAGACCACCTCTGCCTGGAAACCATCAAGGCCCACCCCCACCAGGAGGCCCACAGCAGAACAGACCACCTCTGCCTGGAAACCCACAAGGCCCACCCCCACCAGGAGGCCCACAGCAGAACAGACCACCTCTGCCTGGAAACCCACAAGGCCCACCCCCACCAGGAGGCCCACAGCAGAACAGACCACCTCCACCTGGAAACCCACAAGGCCCACCCCCACCAGGAGGCCCACAGCAGAACAGACCACCTCCACCTGGAAACCCACAAGGCCCACCCCCACCAGGAGGCCCACAGCAGAACAGACCACCTCTGCCTGGAAACCCACAAGGCCCACCCCCACCAGGAGGCCCACAGCAGAACAGACCACCTCCGCCTGGAAACCCACAAGGCCCACCCCCACCAGGAGGCCCACAGCAGAACAGACCACCTCCACCTGGAAACCCACAAGGCCCACCCCCACCAGGAGGCCCACAGCAGAACAGACCACCTCCACCTGGAAACCCACAAGGCCCACCCCCACCAGGAGGCCCACAGCAGAACAGATAGTAAGATCTGAATTTAATCTTCATGAAATATCTTAATTCCTATCCTATAGTTTTGCAAGCACAAGCTGCACTTACTCAACTTCTAGCATCTTTACAATATACACGTTGGGTTCTCTCTATTTGTGTATTATGTGGTGGTAGAGGAAGATGATTTATTTATGTTTTGTATAGTCCTCAAGTTATTATGATTGTGAGGAGCAATGCTCATACGTGCTTAACAAAATAATTGTCTTGATTTTGCAAGAAGAGCAATATTCTGACTAAATTATGCTTCCTTCTTTCACATGCCAGCAGCCCCACCTTTATTAGTTCGACCTGAATATTCATTCCTTACACATCTGGTACATGGAACATTAGTGCATTGCCGGTAAATGTTATCTGCATTTTAGAATGCATTCTTATTCCCATATGCCCAAAATAAGAAAAACTAGAAATCCAGGAATCAAATTAAATTTTATAAATAAGTGTTCTCATCCCTCCTTACCTCCACCATGTTCAAAGGCTACCACTGATGCTTTCAACAATTACATTCTGTGCCTTTGCTGCCATTGACCAGCTACTATCTTGTCCGTGGAATTTTAAGCTGGTTTCTGTGTTGCACTAGTAAAGGATATGGCCTAGTAACAATTTTTCAAATGTGTCTAAGGACTTGAGACAGCATTCATATAGACCAGGCTGTCTTCAAACTTGCTGTGTGGCCAGTATGCCCTTGAATTCCTGATCTTCCTCCCTCTACTCCACAAGTGGTTTGATTATAGGCATGGGTCATCATTACCAGTTTAACATGGAATGTTTTCCTAGTAAAGCCATATAACCTATAAAATATAATTTCATCTTTTCAGCAGTGGTTCAGAGTATATTATGTTCTAGGTTATTAGCAAGAATGAGTAAAGAGAAACAGAATGGGAAGGGACAAAGATCAGATAAAGGGGAAAAGGTCATGGGCTTCTATCTGTATCATTTATAGATGCTAGAAAAAGATGACCAACTTCATCTTAGTGTACTTTTCCTATAACTTCTTTTTGTACTTGTTTCTTTCAGAAAATGAGTAAGAAGATAATGACCTTGTTGGATTGTGTAACTGGAATAACGTGGCCATGATTTGTCTTCATTATACGAATAAAATCACACATGCATGTAATTTCTGACTCGTCTCTACTTATGGGTGTTAGTTACCCTGGAATTTGACTACCTTAGACACAATTTACTAGTACCCAGGACCCTATGCCATGGATGCTTCTACCTTTCCATCTTCCCATATCCACAAACCAGCTGTCAGGTGAAAAAAATTCCATTTTATATACAATGGACTATCCTCTATGAAAAATACAATCTTCAACTGATATTTTTGTATTTTAGGAAAAGGGAAAATATAGTATAATTGTGAAGAAAGTTTAGAAACAGACATTCTTAATATTTCCAAAATACATGATTACATTTTCTTCAGTTATTAATGCGTTTTTCCACATTATTTTGTATATTTTGTAATATACTTCACTCTCTCCCCCTTCGTGTTCACAATATGTTGTCTTCCAAAGTATAGCCAGAGCCAGCATTTTTTTATTAAAGCATACACAGATTTCATAAAGTAGACAATAATTTCATAAAGTAGACAATAATTTCATAAAGTAGACCTCTGCTCAGGGTCCAAAGAAGCTCTACCATAAGCAAAGAACTAGGACCTAAAGTCAAAAGGAATTCCCCACTATGCACTTTCCTGCATCAATTACTTTATTCTTCTGCCATCTTCCAAATTTTCCACTTTATATACACATACAGAAACAATCAGCAATTCTCTGGCAATAGCAAGGATACTTGAATGCATTTCTCAGGGCCATGAAAACAAATAGGGGCTAACAAAGTGTTTGCCTGTATCTTATGTCTCAGACAGGGTGTGGCTGTAAGATTCTCCAGCAGATACTGGGAGGATTAATTATGGAGACAACTTTAAATCAGTATAGAATTCTAAACTAATAGATCCTAGAATAAATCAGGATAGAAAAAACAGGGGGGTTGTTTCATGTGCTGAACTTACATTCTTAAGTGTCTAGTCAAGCTAGAAGTTTGTAATCATTAACCATAGAAAAGGGGAAAGAGATGCTTTAGCTCTAAGCACTTGGTTTTGCTTTCTCGTTATCTGGAAACACAGTGTCATGGTAGCCATGGCAGCCAGCTGAAACTGCTGAAGGGAAATGGGTGATATTTGATCCACATTAGCATTTTTGTCAAATGTTAAACCATTGAGGGGGACTGCTCAGCTGTAGAAATGACATGGAAGGTGGCTAGATCAAAGGCAAAAACCATGGCTTTGTAGTATAAAATCCAGAGGCTGACGCTTACAGCCTTCAGGGTGCCTATTCCTGAGAAGGAATTCCTTTCTCCAGGCTAGTTAAGTGATCAATAGCCATCTCAAGAACTCAAGGCACCAAGTACATATCCTATATATCAAAATTATTCAGCAAAATTAATAGTCCTCCTCCTGAGTAGCCAAAACATATGTGCTCAGTAGGTGAAATATTTTCATGAGATAAACCAACAAACACCCAAAGCTGTTCTTAGGGAAGAGATGAAGTGACTCACCAGAGAAATTATAGACAGGAGCAACTGAATCCCACAGCAAGTTACTCCATGGCCTTGCCATGGGCTCATTACTATAAAATCACTCATCTGGAAGGCTGGCCTGTTGAACATTAGTAATCCTGCTGTATCTCTCATGACCCTTGACAAAGAAATATGTTAGATTTTAGATGATATAATACCATTAGCCCTTCAAGAATTATTTTAAAGCCTATGATTTTTTTTTCTTGCCCAGGACTCTCAGTATTATTGCAAACACACACACATACACACACACACACACACATATATATATGATAATACAGCAATATGGCAAACTAGGCTCTTAGGAATCTCATAATTTCTGGCAATGCCACTACTGCCTTATATTGCCCTAATTCACAGGTGGTTAAACAGTGTTCCTTTTTGCTCCAGAAAATTTGACATCACATATAACACAATTAGTTTAACATATGTATATATGTATGTACACATATATGTATACACAGACACGTGTGTGTGTGTGTGTGTGTGTGTGTGTGTGTGTGTGTTGATAGTTTATGATCTCATAAACCTTGCCTGGTGATCAGAATGCAAAGCTGGTCACAGCCATAGAGCCAGGCAGTGGTCATGAACGGACTAGACCCTCACCCAGCCCCTTGCTTTAACAGCTGTAGCAGGCTGCAGAAAAGACACAGCAAGATGTAGGCCTTTGACTCAGCAACACTTGCTAAGCTTTCTACTAGCTTCTCACCTTGCCTGACCTCAGCCCAGTCACGAGGAAGCCAGATACCTTCCATGTGGCAAGGAACCAATCAGAAGTTAGCTGGCAGGCTCTGGATGTGCTTTATGGCAACAGAGGTATATGGAGCATAGCAACTGCCCTGGGAGGGACTATAGGCCATAGAAACCAGTTGACCAATCAACACAGGTCAGGTCGTTCAAGCCCAGAAGTGCTCCAATCCTGAGACTGTTGCTGACCCCAGACAATCCTCTGACCTGTGGTCCCTTTGGGTCCTTCTTGCTCTACCCACTGTGTCAGACAGATGGAGGGCCCAAGTTAATACAGTTAACTCATTAATTATTGAAGAAACCTTTGATTTTGCATCGAGAGTTAGCTCCTTTGTGGTCTATTTTGGGGTCTCATGATTCACCTTTAATCTCAGGACTCAGAAGACAGAGGCAGATGGATCCCTGTGAGTTCAAGGCCACCCAGGGCTACATGAGAGTGAATCAGTCTAAAAGAGACACAGAGATCATGCCTTTAATCCCAGCACTAGAGAGAATATAAGGTCAATACGGTCTCAGGAGCGTCTGAGGTTTGGTGTGGAGCAGTGCAGACTGGAGATGCAATCTGAGGTTTGGTGGATCATCCTTATGGTCTGAGCATTGGTAGAGGTAGTGGCTGGCTGTTTTGCTTTTCTGATCTTTAGCTTGAACCTCAATATCTATGTCTAGGCTTTTATTATTTGTGCTACATATTGTTGCCTAACATAAAAGTATGAATTCACACAAAAGCACTTTGCCTGTGACTTTGAAGCCACTGGCCCAGGCCAGAGCTACACACCAGACTCCCACCAGAGTCCTTGTCCGGCTGGCTAGGTTTTCTTTTGCCTTTTCCTCAAGCCTCTAAAAACCAGCAGACTTTGCTTTTAGGCTGTTCCCACCACATGTGTTTTTTCATAACAATCCTGTGTGTGATTTATTCAGACAGCAGTCTCTCTCTCTCTCTCTCTCTCTCTCTCTCTCTCTCTGTCTCTCTCTCTCTGTCTCTCTCTCTCTGTCTCTGTCTCTACACATCTCTCCCCTTATCCCTCCCATGTGGGTTCCAGGCTTTTCCTACAGCCCCTCTCCTCAGGCTGACACTTTCAATTCACAGCCACACATTAGTTTTCGGTTTAGAAGTCCCATGCCTCACAGTTCATTGACACTGTTGGTAGATTTTGTAAGACAAGTGAGAATTCTCAAAGGAAGGAATGGTTCAAAGAGAGAGTTTTTCCCACATTAAAAATTGCAGACACAGTAACAATGAAGAGATGTCGGTCTGTGTATGATTAGGTAATGCATGATTTAAAAATGGAACAATTAAATGAAAGGATAATCAACTTAATTGGGATTGACACACTATTAATGATGACGTTGATAATCTTCATTGTTAGTTTGATAAATCTCGGTTTATCTCTAAAATGTTGGTTGGTATGAGTGCTAAGATGGAAGCCTTAGAAAAACTTAACAAAGAAGATGATAGAGATATTCAAAATCAGTCAGAGAAATTCAATGGAGAACCAAGTTCAGTAGTGCATTATACAGTTACAGAGGAACAGTAGAAGATCTTAACAAAAGCAACATTAATAAATCCCATAACTTTACAGGAAGTACAAAATGAGAGAGACTCTGTAAGAGCCAACTGGACTCCTGTGGCAATGTTAGATTTAGGAAAATTCA